CCCAGCCATAGGAATCCAGAGGAAATCCACGCGTCGTTCCCTGTGTTCCGACAAATCCAATACAAATAGTTTGACCCACACCCAAATCCCAGCCATAGGAATCCAGAGGAAATCCACGCGTCGTTCCCTGTGTTCCGACAAATCCAATACAAATAGTTTGACCCACACCCAAATCCCAGCCATAGGAATCCAGAGGAAATCCACGCGTCGTTCCCTGTGTTCCGACAAATCCAATACAAATAGTTTGACCCACACCCAAATCCCAGCCATAGGAATCCAGAGGAAATCCACGCGTCGTTCCCTGTGTTCCGACAAATCCAATACAAATAGTTTGACCCACACCCAAATCCCAGCCTGGAGTTCAGGAGTTCTTCCGGCTCGGGGACGACGAGAAGGACTTCAGCGCCGCGCCGAGTCGAGTTTAGCGCTTCGCGTCGCCGAAGCGACTGGAGCGGATCGGATCTCGCCGGGTGTGTTTGGGTGTTCCCATTTTGGCTTTCCCGTCTTTTTTAGAGGTCAAAGAAAGGAAGGTTACGGGTTCGTATTGCTTCCAGGTTCGAACTGGGCAAGTGAGTTCAAAGAAAAAGTCTCCGGGATATTCTCCAAGAAGTTAGGTTGGGAAGGTTTTGGGAATCTAGCCTAAGCCGTTTTTTAGTCGAGATTTGCCGTTCCTGGACTAGCAAATCTAATTTCCTGTAGAAGTTCCTGTAGACATATTTTCTCATGAGTGGGTCGAAAACAGGGACTGGTTGTCATGTTGGTGGGAGAGAGGGCATGGGGGTCTCCTAGCCTGAATACTTTTGATGCAATTGCCCCTTAGTGGTTTTGAGAATTGGCATCGGGGAATCTTGCAAAGGCAATGCCAATTGTCTAACCATGTGTTTGGGCAACCAGTACCACACGTCTATCACAATCCAAGACATAGGACCCGGAGCCCCAAACTACCCATAAAGAAATGTTATTGCCTAATATGATGGGGGTGATGTCCCTTTTCATGGCTAGGTTGAGGGTCCCGGTACTTAGTTTCCCCTTTCCGGAAAACCATCCTGCCTGGGTGCTCGATCGCTCGAATCGGAGCAATGAAGGACGACAAGCTGTGGCAAATCCTCAGCGGGCTGTCGGATGACGCCAAGGTCATTTGCTTCGCCAACACCAAGAGGCCATTTGCTTCGCGCATGGGGTTGATCAATACCCTCTTCTGCCCTCAAATGACCACGGGTAACTTTCCACATGTGGGAAAAGTCATATTCTTCGCGGTTTTCCCACTGGTCATCCCATGGAAAGGACCTTTTGATCCAAGCCAGTGGCTTCGTTTTGTCTTTCAAGTGATTGTGATGCCCATGGTATTGGACGGCTGGACCGCTGCAGCTTTTGGGCAGTTGATGTCTTTACTGAGCTAAGCAGGGCTCCTTAAACGATACATTTTGCCCATTTGAAACATGGCTTTTTCCACCAAAAGAAAGGGAAACCACCATTTACAAGGCAATGTTCAGGTGTATAATGTAAGGATCCCTGTTACATGTGAGCTAAGAGAAGATTATTGACCACGTATCCATGTTTGGTGCAAGCATCCTCATGTTAGTTTCTCTTTGAAGGGGGTCTATGGGATCCGTTCCCTAGATGGAACGTGTGGAGCGCGTTTCCGATTTGGCGCTTCTTTGGTCCAGTCTCCAACTGTTTGAGTGTTTGGACAACCACTCCATTCGTCCAAAAGGAGCATCACTTGTACTTGCCGAGCAAAAGGTGATGTCCAACTCTACCGGGTCCTGGGGACTTTCATGGTGGGCAACTGCAGTCTGGAGTGGTTTAGGGATCCGTGTGAGTACTGAAAGGAGCGCCGGAAAGACCTTTCCCTGCCGCTTGGGTTGGTCAATAATTTTGGTTTGGAATCCCTTTTTGTGGATTCCACCAGTTTCCCTTGTTCTTTCAAGGTACTCCTTTCGCACTCTTTCAGTACTTCCTACAAAAGTGAATCCACTAATTTGCCACACACCCACTTCCAGAATTAGAACAGCCCTCCCCATTGGTAACACAACAAGTTGGGATTTGGGTGTGCCATTTTCAAAGGGAACACTATTTGGGTGGGGTTCGAACAGGATACCAAGCAGAAGCCACCCATACCGATGCTTGTCTACCCCCACTCGACAAACCCCCAGCCCCAAACAAGTTGGTAGCCCCACTTAGAGACAATTCGTCTATGATGGTTTCCAGCCCCAAAACCAGAAATACACCATGTCTCCATGAGTTTACCCTGGTTTTCCGCTGGCCAGTGATTTGTTCCTGCAAACCGAAGCGAGCGGGAAAAACCAGGGGTAAGCTCATGGAGTATGGACCCTTTGGCCAGGTCTCGTCGGTCACCTCCCGTTAACTCTGGGTTTTGCGGTAGCAGTAGGTTTGCTGGTGCGATAAGCAGGAAATGAGGGAATGCACCCAGGCTTTGGTCCCCCGAAAACGGACACCACCAGTATGGCTCATATTCGGACCAGACTCCATAGCTCTCATTCCCTCTCTCGCAGCGATCGCAAGCTTGCGATGGGAATTTGGGAGTGGATGCCTGCCCCAATCCTGACGAACTTCGGGGCATCACTCACTTTGTCCTTCTGCCCCGAAAAATCGCCACCCGGGCGAGTTCCGGGGGGATTTCCGGGGGAGCCTCCCTCTCAGCCCTCAAGCCCTCGCCCCCTCTCGGAGCCATCTGGGAGCCATCTGGGAGCCATCTGGGAGCCAGCTGGCGGCTCAAATACATGGACCAAACTGGCACCTTGGTAGATGGAACCAAAGACGAAAACCTGCGGTTCACCCATGAAAAGTCCTTTCAGCTTGACTCCCACGGCCATCTGGGAGCCAGCTGGGCGTCAGCGAGTCCTCGAGAGGCGCATCGACGGGTTTCAGAAGACCTTCTGGGCCAAGGGCTTCGAGTCCGTGGCCCTGCACGGGGACAAGCTCCAGCCCCTCGAGTCGACGTGAGAGGTGGCCGGCGGTTTGGTTTGGGTTTGGAAGATAGAGGCAGGGTGGGGTTTGCTTGGGTTGGTGGGTGTTGGTCTGGTTTTGGTTTGGTTCTGGTTGGTTCTGGTCTGGTGTTGGTTGGTTCTGGTTGGTTTGGTTGAAAATAGATGGCGATGTTTGGTTTGCCCGTTGTTGTTTTTTTCGGCCATCTGTTGGACACCTACGCTAGCGACTCGTTTTCGACTCCGGCGCGGGGTGTGCGTGTGCGTTTGCGGCCGGTGTGATCTTGGCCATCTGGGAGACTCCCCGCAAAAAATATGGGGGTGGGTCAAAAATGGGTACCCAAAAGGCCCAAAATGGAAATGTGGGCAATGGAACCAAGGACTAAAATGTGCGGTCCCCTGGTGGACTAATTTTGACCCATAGCCATATAGTTTGGGCCACTTGAAACCCTCTTAAGGGGGGCTTTCAGCTTCTCTCTAGTTGGCGGTTTGGATTAGTGCAGAGCTGATCTTGTGAAATAGGGTCGATCTCCCCTTTTTGTTGCCCAAGAAGGACTTTGTTTGGTGTCAAGGGAAGCCGGGCAACCCATTTGCATTGGGGGGGGGTCAGGCCAGGCCTCTTCTTAGGGCGAACTCCGAGCCAAACTCCCACCTTCCATATACCCCAAACGAAGGTGCGCGGTGAGCGACAACTTTTTTTTGGAGGGTCCCCCAGTAGTGCCCTTTCTCTCCCCTTTTTTGGGGGAGGGTTTTTCTACTAAATAGACCACAGAAAAAATCGGGTACCCTTATTCTAACCTCTCAAATCTGGAGCACCTAGAGGTCGCGTGCTGTCGCCGGATGCTGCCGCTGTAGCGGATGCCTTTCGCGGCCCAGGAAGGACCGGGACCGGGACCTGGAGAAGTTCGCGAAGGGCGAGACCTGGCTGCTCTTCGCCACCGACGTGGGGGGCTCGAGAGATTTCCGGCGGGAGGTGGTGAGCAGTGGGGCAGGGATTAGGGCAGGGATGGCCAGTCGTTTCGGGACCCTCCTCTCGAAATTCTGAGCTCTTTCTGAGGAACCCCCCAAAAAAAACACACACACACACACACACATTCCACCAGCAAACGGGGGGTAGTCCAAGTCCCCCAAAGCTGGGGTACTCGGCGCTGAGGTGTGCTCCCGGGGCCTCGACATCAAAGGCGTGACCCACGTGGTGAACCTGGACATGGCGGGGATTCGAGCGGATGGAGACGTGTTTCTGTTGATTTAGGGGCCGAAAGAATTGAAGGCACTGGCTCAGAGTTGGTCTGTGATTTACAGTAATTACCTGTAATTTAATGGCCTTTTGATCATTTCGTTTGGTGAGAAATAGACGGGTTCCACTGGCTCAGAGTTGGTGTTCTATTCCATTTACCAGCGCCATCTATTTTACACCTATGGTTAGAGGGGTTGTTCACTGAAGACCAAATGACCTGATGAACATGGGACAAGCAGGTGCGCAACTATGTGGCGCTTGATAGCTTAAACGAGATCACCCGCCAATGATGGCACTTCACTGTGGAGGTCCCAAACTTCCGCTGTGGGAACTCGTATCATTTTCCTGGCTCAGGTGGTCTCACCTAGGGTGTTCCCCAAAATTTGAAGCTTAGGCTTCCCGAGAAGCAGTCCTTCCTGAAAAAAAGTGCCTCTTTGGGGTCAACACATCGCCTTGCCCAGTTTGTCGGAACTGCGAACATTTGCATGGCATATAAGGATCCCTGAACACGTGGCACCCCTGGGAGCTGTAGCTGGCTGTTGTATTACGAATCTCCATCTGCTTGGAGCTAACGGCAGAGGAAGCAACGGAACTCACGAATCCAAACCCGGGGCCCGAAGAGGCTTGATCGGTTCGTTTGGATAGACATGGATGGGTTTCACTGGTTTAAATAGGTTTTGGGCCGTTTACCAAGGAAACCCACCTATTCTTCCAAATGGTCATGGCTCAAGCCGGTGGCGTATGTGTGTGTGTGTGTGTGTGGATCGATGTTTCAAAGTTGCTGGACTTTGTGATGGGTCGAAAATCATTTTCAGGGGGAAAGAAGAAGTGGGGATCTTCCCTCAGCAAGACCATGTCAGCACTCTGTGACGTCTTCAAAACCATCCAGCATGCCTTAACATAGTGGTTCGCTGAAAGTTTTGTTCAGGCATCAAAAGCGTTCGCTCAACATCGAGGCGCAACCCTTTTCAAAGCCAAATCGTGGTTCGCTGAATGGTCTTTGTGTGCATAGGTGTCCTTTTTTTGTGCAGTTTGAGAAACAAAGGGCCCTGGTAGACCGGTAGATCTATTGGTTTTTACTAATTTCATCATGGACCAGGATTAGCAGGGCCACCTGTATTCTCAAAAGCTCTAGGGGTTGATTCCCCATTCTTATCAACCCTCGTTAATTTCAAGCACCAGCTGTTTCCCCAGGGTTTTGGGTGGTTTTGTAGAAAGAAGGATGCCTGGAAAGAATGGAAATGGAAGGTACCCCTAGAAAAGCACATCTGTTGGGTATGTCCGTCGGTTTCCCTTTCTTCGCTTGAGCCACCAACGCCCAGCGCCCAGCCCGGCGCTCGCTCGAACGCATGGCATTCGTCGCGCCTTGGGCGCCAGGCCCGGGATGTGGAGAGCTATGCCTCGGGTCCCAAGAGACCGGATCCAACTGCCAAGCGCTCGCTTGCGATCGGTTTCGAGATGTTTCGAACAGGCAGCTTTGCTGGGTTCGCGTGTCGAGATGTTTCGAGGTCCAATGAGACAGCTTTTGGCCTTTCCTCTTTTTTTATTGCCAGTTTTGCTTGGCTGCTTGTGATTGTCGGATCGGGGTCACATGAGTCTGCCCAAGGAGTCCGTGAAAACCCTACCAAGGTTTGGCTGGGTTCCTCAAAGTCATCCCTCAAACCCAATGCAAGATGGCGCGGGTTCCCTTGCAGTGGTGCCCCTCTACGGAGTAGGAATAGTCATCCCCCCCCTCCCCCGGTGTTGAAGCATGTTGAACAACTCGCCCTGTGAATCCCAGGCAAGCCATGATAGGTAACCAGACATGGTCCTTTTGATTTTGACGGTCCTTTTTGGCGGTTGGCAGGCCTAGCGGATCGTTGTTGGTCTTCCTTGTTCTTCCGGGCTAAGTCCATGGATTGTACTTTTGGGGGGCTAGGTAGAGCCATGTGTTGCTAGATTTTTTGGGATTGTTCAGTCATTTTTTCTGCCCTGGTTCCTTTAGTTTTAGCACGCCGACCTGAAGACGTGCATGATTGCAGGAGGGTCGGCCTTTTAGCGCGCCCCGGAAAGGATCCGGAAATCTCGGCGCGTCCCTTGTTGGCGGGTGCCCTTGCTGGCGATCCCTCATTGCCATTCAAGGTGCTGAAAACTGATGGTGGGCCTGCAGTCCATAGGTCTCCCGCGGCTGAAATACGAAACGCGGCTTTGTTTCTCTGGGTCTCGGGAAGAAAACAAAGAAGCATAAATCAATCAGACAAACAAACGGACCGGCTAACAGACAGACACAGGGGCAAACCAACAGGCAATCAATCAAGCAACCCGGCAACGCAAAGCCAAGCCAAGCAAAGCCAAGCATAATCAAACAAGCACATCAAGGCTCACGCTTTGCACTTGCCACGGTCATCACATCGCCTGCTTCCCTGCAGCATTTGGCAGCCGAGAGCAGGCTCTGTAAGACGCCATGACAAACACGAGGCACGTCAGCAGTTCTGGATCTTTGACTGACGGACCCTTTCCGGCTCCCTTCAAATCAGATTCAAACCGATCAACATTGACTTCGAGAATGCAAACACAATCCATGTACGTGTATACCATTTTCCGCATTTGGAGAATGTCTGTGTGGGAGTGCAGGTTTGGCTTTTCTTGCGAAACTGCTGTGAGTTGTCCGTCGCCCACGGAATCCAAGCGTTTCAGGCCCCTGCTTCTGCATGGGGCCGCAGCATGCTTTTTGCGGGACAAGTATGGGTCTCACCGCCAGATCAGATAGATCCACCTGCTCAACTTGGCGGTTCCCACCACCGCACTCTTAGGCTTTGAGACTTTTGGCGTGAGGGATTTTGTGCCGTATCCCGCTAGTAGTGTTACACCTTTTAGCCAGGGATGAGCAAACCACGCAGTAAGTCGGCTTAGAGCTAAGGTCATCGAGGTTTGCTAATATATGTATATATATATATATATATGGTCAGGCCCCCCCATGAACTACCTTTCCTTCTTTCTTCATAAAATGGCTGCATATATATATATATATATACAAAATAGGCGTCTCGCCGGTAGATCCGCCATTTTTTGTCTGGCTTTCGGGGCAAAAGCGAAAAGCGCAACGGAGCAGCCTGCCGCAAGGCCCTGGGATATGTCCGGCTACAAGACTTTGGAGATCACCCTTGATCCGGACAGGGGCTGAGGGAGGAAGTTCGGAAGGGGCTTGGGAGGGGGAGGGGGAAGAAGAAGATCACAGAGGGGAGCGGTTTTGGGCATGTGGATGTTTTTTGGGAACTGCCATGGGTGCCACTTTGCTTTGTGTTATTGTCTTGGGTGCCATGGGTGCCATGGGTGCCATGGGTGGCATGGGTGGCATGGGTGCCATGGGTGCCATGGGTGCTATGGGTGCTATGGGTGCCATGATTGCTATGGGTGCCATGGGTGCCATGGGTGCCATGGGTGCCACTTTGCTTTGTGTTATTGTCTTGGGTGCCATGGGTGCCATGGGTGCCATGGGTGCCATGGGTGCCATGGGTGCCATGAGTGCTATGGGTGCCATCGGTGCCATGGGTGCCATGGGTGCCATGATTGCTATGGGTGCCATGGGTGCCATGGGTGCCATGAGTGCTATGGGTGCCATCGGTGCCATGGGTGCCATGCATGCCATGCATGCCATGGGTGCCATGAAGCCACGTGAACTGTCTCCCCTATAAGTAATAAAGGACTCCCCAATGAGAAGTTGTCGTGGTCAAAAGAACGGCGCCAAGGACCCACTTTTCTCCACGCCGGATTACTTTGAACCTTGAAGGATGATTTTTTTTTTGGGGCCCAAAGCGGCCTCCCCTGAAGAAACACCCTAATCACATAAGAAGCCAGGTTTCAAACGACCATTGTGATTTCTCCCCCCTCAAAGACTGGAGTTTTCTCCCTGACAGATCACAACCCTTTGCCAACTGCCGAAAGCCAGGCTTCCGGAAGCTTGATCTCCATCTCTGACAGATTCCCGACTAATCTCTGTCTCTTTTTCCTTTTCTTGGGGGAGCTTATGTTAAAGCTTTTCAAGTCAAGCTCTTGCCTGGTGCTTGGTGTTGAATCCTGGGTCCAGGCTTGCCCAAGACCACCGCGCGTTCCTTTCGCCGGAGGGTTCAAACAAAAGACCTGCGCTGCATGGTGGCTTGGGTCGATGCGTCGAAGGGAGTTTCTACCTGACCCCGCGAACTACACTGGATGCGAGGGAACTCACCCCATGTCTTTTGGTCAATAAACCCATTTTTTCTGGGTGGTTTTGGAAATTACCCTCATGTCATACCCAAGCCATTCGCGGCCCCTGACAAACCTCGGTCGCCCCATCCACTCCCCGCGCCACTCCCCACGCCACTCCGCTTCCGCTTCCTCGCTTCTCGTCGAGGAGCTGAACGCCTCCTTCTGCCGCCGGGGCCGGCGTCGGCTCCGCGAGATCCAGGCTTCCAGCCGCGCGCAGCTCAAGTTCGACCGCGCCCGAGGCGCCTCTGCGGCTTCGCGCGGGGGGCGAAGCGGGGGGCGAAGCGGGGGGCGCACGGGGGGTCAGGGATCGACTCGTCGGTGGCGGGGGGGTGGTGGCTTGGTGGCTTGGTGGCTTGGTGGCTTGGTGGCTTGGTGGTTGGTGTTGGACTTGTGGCACAATTTTCTGGTTGGCTTGGTTTGGTTGGGCTTGGTTTGTTAAGATGTTTGGGATGTTTGGATGACATATGCATACCCTCCTCGCCAACATGGCACCTGACAGGGTCCCTTCGAGAGAAAGTTGAGGTCTGTTGGAGGTGATACCTGGACCTGCAAACTACCAAGAACATCATGTTTTTTCCCCCCAGGTATGGGGTGATGCCCCTCGTTTCGGGGCAGATGGAGGGTCTAGGTGATGTCCTGGCGGTTTTTTGGTCGGTGGGAGGCGTGCTGCGCGTGAGCGGCTCGGAGGCTGCAGTGCAGGAGGCGGGGACCTGGGTTTTGGCTTCGACCCAACATGCGGGGGCAGCATACCCGGTTTCTTGGTGTTTTCAACCAAAAGGAAAAAGCGAGATCCAGTTTGGGGGAATTCTGCAGCCGGAAAAAAAGCAGACACACACTGCACATCGTTTTTTTTTTTTAATGGTTGGAACGGTGCTCTAAACCCAGATTGCGATCTGAGATTTGTTAGATTTGAGATGGCTGTAAGATGGCTTCTCGCATTTCTAAGATGGGTGTGTCAAAAGTGCGGAAGGTAGCTCAAAAGGAAAGCCGAGATCCTTTTTTGGGGGTCCGAAGCCGAAAAACAAGACACACCCACATCTGGTTATGAATTTTCAGGGTTGGAACCAGCTCGAAAGGACTTGGTGGACATGAATTCCACCACATGTTGATTTCCACCAAAGGGCCCTCTATTCAAATTCACACCCATCTACTACAGTTTAAGGGAAGTAGTTGGGTCCTGGATTTTCCAACGTGATTCCACCTTGTGCCTCCACACAAGTGTGAGAAACTGCATCCAAATGCGTGGTTAGGGTACATTGAGGGTCCAACATTGGGCTTTACAGCGTTTCAGATAGTAACAACCAGTGGGATATGGGCTTTGTTTTCTTGGGAGGTTTCTCCTGGAAAGTTTTAACATGGAGTGTTACCGGTTGAGGCGCGATGGAGAAATTGTGGGGGAATATGTTATTGAAAGTTGGGGTTCCTCCCCTTAGATCTTGCGAGAGCAACTTAGAGAAGAAGCAGCAACCCGGGGGGTGTTTCTGATTTGGGCTCTTAAAGATGGAGCTGCCACATTGTGGCAGTGAAAGGCCTACAACCATTTACAAGCTACCCACCATAGTTGATCGACGCGGCGTTACCTCTGGGCCCTGCCCTCCTTTTCCTCGAGCAACCTCCTCCATCGCTCCATCTAGGGACATCCAGGCCATGAACCGTAGCAAGGTCGGCAATGATCCCCTTCTAAGCAAGTGGCACGCGCATCTAAGTAGGCATCCCCACTGAACTAGGGGGGAAACAAGTGGCACCTTACCAATCAACCCCAACAAACTACAGGCTAGTTAGCTACTAACAATTAGCACCCACCAAAACAAAAAACAACCATGGGTTACTAGGGGTAACCAATTAGCACTCGACAAATCAACTTCCACAAAACTACCTGGACCGATTCTCAAACTACCCTCAGAAAAGGGACATCACCACATGTTCTCGGATTGCAATCACCCATTTTTAGGGTCCAGGTAGGTCTACTGAGGTCTACTGACCAGAAAACTGCCTCCCCCCGACCAAGGGGCTTGGGGCACGACTGGACTCGTGACGTGAGGTGCAGCGGCAGTTGGAGTGCCTGGGCGGCCCCCGAAAGTCCGTCAACAACGCGGCGCCTTTGGCGAGCAAGCGAGGGCCACCGTCCGGCCGCGAGCCACGTCGCGGCCTGCGAATTTTCGAGATGGGTGCGGGTCGAAAATAGGAATCCTCCAAATGGGTGGCAACCTGGTACATGGAAACAAGGACTAACATACTGGCATCTTTTTTTCTCCGGTCGAATAATTTTGACCCATCCCCATGTGTGTCAGACTTCTTTGAAACTTCCATGATGTTTGTTGTTTTTTCTTGGGTGGGGTGGGGTTGATGTCACCTCTCAAAGGCTGGTTTTCCCCCAGATCGCAATCAATCTCTGTTAATCGCAAAAGCAAGGTTCCGGAACCTTGATCTCCATCTCTGACAGTTTGCAATCAATATATGGTGTGACAACAAAATGAAACAGCAGGGGGCGAACCGCGGGTTTTGGCCATTTTGGGGATTCCATTTCTTGAGCCGCAGCCATGTCGTGTGTTTCTTTGAAGGAAGCCAACACGAAGTGAGAGCCGCTTGGAAGGCGCGTGTTGGATTTGATTTTTCCTTGGGACAATCAGAGACTCAAACCCCAAAGCTGCGAGAAACCTGGTGGAGACGAATGTTCCAGACCTCAGAACTGCCGAAAGGCGCCGCTTTAGCTCTCTTTTGCTTCAAAAACCACTGAGTCTTGTTGGCGGACAATGACCCTTGGCGATGTGCGGCCGATGTTTGAGAAACTCGCCATATGTTTTGGGCAATGAAACTCGTTTGGCATGTGTTACCAGATTCTGTCCCAGGAGTTGTGGGAAAGAAAGCTTCTTTCGGCATGTTTTACCGTGAATCTAGGGGTTGATTCCCCTTCTTTTTTTAGCCATCGTCCTTTTCAAAAGCCAGATCCATTTCCCCCAGGTTTTGGGTTGTTTTCTAGAAAGAAGGATCCCTGATAAAGGAATGGCCCCCTAGAAATATCACCGAAAACAACCTCAAAAGGGTGTGTGTTATTCGATTCTACCGCAGATCGGCGGAAGCTACCCCTAGAATGACGGCTGCGTCGGCCTTTCTCTCGCGTCGACTTGACTCGCCGCCTACGTCGTGCGGCCAAGGTGTGGGCTGAGCTCATGCGAACTCGCATGTCGGATGACTCCACGAGCCGCCGGGCTGCAGCCGTTATAGGACCCTTCGGATCATCGGTTTTACTTTGGAACTGGGACCCCCTAGAAGGGGTTTCTCAAAATAGTTGCAAACGGAGACCAAAAGCAAACGACCCATTTTGCGCGTTTTGGATTTCTTGCGTGTGGTTGGCTTACTTGCGCAATGTGGCCTTACTGATGGTTACAGAATGCCACGTCAGGCGCCAGTTGGATAGGTGGTTTGTGGACCAACGGTTTCATCTATCCCAACTGGTGCGACATGGCTTTTGTAACCATATCCACAGAATGGAGATGGTCCCGCGCCCATCTGTTTTTCCTCGGTTGGGTGTGGGGATGGGAGCCCCTTCTGTTGGCAGTGGATCCGTCTGGCAACCGTCATGTTTGCACACCGAGCTACTGCCAGTGGCTTGAGTGGAAGCACTGGTGCCCAACCACTTAAGATTCATGGCCCTGTGACATTTACCAAGCAGCACCTTAGAATGTGCTTCATGGAAGAAGCTATCATACATGGGCGTGCGTCTTTTTTTCAAAGGGACTGCCTTTTTGGGAGGTTCAAAGGAAAAAACAACCACCCGAACACCGAGATCCATTTTGGGCGCCAAGTCCCAAAAAGAGACACCCCCACACTTATTTCGGGGTGTGGATCTCGATTAGGTACGGGTCAAAAGCCGCAGGTTTGAGTCCTGGGTTTCATTCACCGGGGCTTGACCCATTTTGGGGATACCTATTGTGGATGGCCGAAGTTCTGCACCACCTACGAATTCCTGGTTTCTGATTCGATTCCCCAAATGCCAACCACCAATGGTTTCAACCCTGGTTTCAAAGTGCGAGATGGATTTCGTCCATCCACAGTCTGTGGTACCCTCACTCCCACAATGGCACCTGACAGGGACCCGGTCCCTAGAGGGAAATGATCTACCAGGTGCCCTCCCATAGGCGCCTTCTGTTGGAAGGGAGGGTACCTATGTTTGACCCACTCAAAGAATATTTCTACAGGAACTTCTACAGGAAACTAGATTCGCTTGGACCGGGCCATGTGGTCGCCTTTGAAGTGGTCACCGTGCTTGACCCCCCAATCGGGCGAGCTTTCCGAGGCTCCGCGGTGCAGCGCATCCAGCAGCTCAGCGGATGCCGGGTCCACATCGAGCGCACCGCCAAGGAGGCGGACGGATGCGGACGGTTTGAGCAAATGCAGAGGTGCTCGACTACCTCCTAAAAATATATAGCTTTTCGGGTTTCTTGGGACGCCTTTGGGGAGCCTTCGGCTGGGTTTCCTCGGGTTCCTTAGGGCTTACCTCTTGAAAGCACGAAACTTTTCGTAACTTTTTGGGTCACATGGGCTATATTTGTCTGTAACAGATGAGAACTTCCCCAGGTTGCTTGGAGTTCCAAGGGGTAAGTACTCGACAGCCAACATGGCCATGGGAATTGCATTGGGTCGTCCAACCATCGTTCTTCCAAAAACCGGCCGTTCTCCCTGGGTTTCCGGAGGTTTTCTAGAAAGAAGGATCCCTGGAAAGAATGGGGAAGGTACCTCTAGAAAAATAACCTACTGTGGATGGACGAAATCCGTTCGCACCATCTAAGAAACCATGGGAGGATTCGATTCTCTTACAAATACCAACTAACGTTGTGGTTTCAACCATGGTTTTAGTTTGGTGCAGGATTGTGTCCATCCACAGTATGGCGAGCCATTTTGGGGTGGATGAACATCCATTTGCCACCTATTTTGATTCATGTTCACCAGGGGTTTGAGGGGGTTTTGACCCACAGCCACATGAACAAAGCAAGGAGGAATATAAAACAATAAATATATACATACAATACTTCTGATGTCGTTGCACAAAGCGCACGCCTTTTTAGCAGCTTGCAAACAAATGCGCCAAACCACCCATTGAAAGGGTTACTGTATTTGAAATTTCTCAGGGAGCCTTGGGGACCCCCTCCTTTTGGACCACCCCGCTGAGTGGAGGTACTTGGGTGTTCAAGCTTCTTTGTAAATAGGTTGTAACGGTGGTACTGGGACGATCACCCCAGCTATCCCAGTCATTTTCTTGGTTATAGCCTACTTACTAAGTTGGTTGAGCATCCCCCCTCCAAATAGATGGAACAACCGCTTCATGCGCTTGGGTTGGGGGAATCCACATTTAAAACATAACCAGGGATAGGTGACTCGTTTCAGTTCCCCCAGTAACCTTGGTTACTCACCCCAGTGGAAAAGAAGGTTGACTAACGCCAAGAACCCCAGGTGACTAATTTCAGTTCCCCTAGTAACCTTGGTTACTAACCCCAGGGGAAGAGAAAATAACCCCAGTCAGAAGCCTGGCTACTTCCTGAGACGGAGGCTAGGTGCCCCAGTGGTGCCCTTTTACCCTTTTCTGGGGGAGGGTTCCCCTTTCTATCGTAGACTACAGACATAAGAATCGGGTACCAACTTATTCTAACCTCTCTGCGGGAGGACCTAGGAGGGCAGCTGATGCGAAGATCCACTTGGAGCCGCTCGCAAACTGAGGTGCGTCTCTTTGGGCCCAAGCTGGCGGTGACCGCCGCCGCGCATTTCCTGGAGGCGGATTCGATTCGGATTCCGATCGGTTCGGTTGGCCATGGGTTGCAGAACCAGTGGCGAGCCATTTTGGGGGTGGATGAACATCCATTTGTCACCTATTTTGATGTGAACCTATTTTGATGTTGGGCATAACCTATTTTGATGTTCACCAGGGTTTTAGGGGGTGTTGACCCACAGCCAGTTCCGTGCCCTCCGATCGAGACCAAAAACAAGAAACTCGCCGTGGCTTTTCCGTGTTTTTTTTTTTTGGGGGGGGGGAGCATGAAAATGGAGGTCGAAATTCCGCGTGGTGCCGTACCCCGACGTTTCCTCTTTTTTTTTGGGGGGGGAGCCAGGAAAAATGGAGCTCGAAATTCCTCGTGGTGTCCCTCTAGATCCACAAAGCACGATGAACACAAAGTGTATTCGCCAACTCCAGAAAAGTTGTCAGAGCTATAGATAGACTTTGGGCGTATTTCCGTTTGGTTTTGGAGACTTGGGGCAATTTTAGTAAAGACTGGAAGATTGGGACTTGTTTTATGACTTTTACGCACTTCCATGCTTCCATGCAGACTTTTCCAGAGGGTCCCAGAGGGTACCTTCTGGATGTAAGGGGTCAAAAGGGGGGGCATTGGGTACATCCTCAAGGGATGTTTTGGACTATGTGCGAACTAGAAGTTTGAACTTGTAGACTTGTTTTGCCAAGCCAGAGCAGTGAGGTGGTTAGCATTTGGCAGGTTTAGGACATCCACAAGTTCGACGGGATCAACACCCAATGGAAAATACGGGATATTCATAGACTCCGGGTTGAATAACGGGGTCGGGGGGTGTCTCACGCAACTACTTGGATGCTTGGCCCAGTTAGTCAGTGGTTAGCCATTTGGGAAGAACCCCCCAAATAACAAGGTCAAGCCCACTTTATAACCTGGGTTACCAACACCAAGTAAAAAGCCAATACCGAGTTTGTTTGCAACCGGAAAAGAAGGATCCTTGAACAGAATGGGAAGCCACTAGAGTTGAAAGAGCCAGACACTGGGCCCCTCTAAAAGTTTGCTTGGTGGCCTTCTCACTAAACTTGGACTTAGCCCCCAACAGGGTTTGGATCAACTGGACAACAGGTTCGCTGGAAATGTCCTGATTGGCCCCATGGTCAATGTGGGAAGGCCGTGACCAGGCACAAGTTAGGAGGCTTTCCCACACCCAGATTTCGGGTGAGTCCCAACCAGAAGGAGCTTAAGGCTATCCGCCCTTTAGATTCTTTAGGCTGTTTTGGGTAGACAATGTTAGTACCAGGTGTTGATTGTGACTCAATTGAGCTTGTTGAACGTTTTCTCGGGGTAGCTTTATCGCACCCTCCTCCTGGTAGGACGCTTGGCCAGGGGAATCCTTGATGGGACTTCTTGAGAAGATCAGTGTAGTGGTGAACAAAAGTCAGGACTGTTTCTCACCTACGCGCACATGAAGTGCGACGTAGACAAGCTCCGCCTTCGCTGTTCGATGTGTCCACGGTGAGATGAGTAATAAGATAGTCATATAAACATGCATGAAACACGATCATAACTTATTGGACATGCAACTATAATCAAAAGACAAACATGAAACAGATAACATAATAGATGATTGATAATCTTGGGAATCAGGGTTATATCTCATTCCTTTCAATGTTGTGCGAGGGGTGTTTTCTTTACATGTTAACGGGAAAGGCCCCACTGCCGGGTTGAATGGAGCTGAACGCGTCAGGATTTGCAGGCCCTGTGCACTCAGAAAGAGGTCGAGCTCGACAGCGTCTCAGGACGGATTCCTTGGGTCGGGCCAACTGCCGGATTCCGCTGATGGGCTTTCCCAGGATAAGCTCTTGGCTTAGTTGTTTTGTCTCACTGCTTGAGATCCGTTTCGGACTTCAGGCGCTTTTTGGGTTGGGGCGTTTTAGTGGTAGATTAAACAAGTTCACCCTGATCCCTCAAACTACGCATCAACAAATTATATTGCCCCAGAATTACGGAGTGATGTCTGTTTTTCGTGGGTGTCCAGGCAGACGTTTTTTTGGCCAGTCCAGCTGTGAGTAGTGTATGAGCTATTGGGAAAGCCAGGCCTCATTGTGTCCGTACACTTCGGCATTTTGAGGCCCATTTGGCAATGGATTTGGCCCGGAGGTCTGCGCTGGGGGTTTTCCTGCTCATTTGGAAGGTGACGTTGTTAAGTGGAGACCACCTCAGACCTCCGCCCATTGAACCCACCTAGATCGCCAAGTTGCGATCGCTTTGTTCAGTCCCTGTTGCTGGTTTTGGGGTAAAAACACATGGGAAAAAAGCGATCGCAACAGGCGATCCAGGCGAACGCCACCCCCCCCCCCGCCCCAGCGCTCCCTGCGAGACGAATCCGAGTTCGCCAGGGACAAACCTCCAGCAGGTGGCCCAGCAGCACTGCGTCACCATCATGGCGGAGGATCGAATCAACTCGGAACTTCGAATCTTCGAATCTGTCCGACTCAAACGCGGCTCGTTTTTGTGAAGGCGATTGGCGGTTGGCTCTTCTTTTTTTGTTTTGGCTGGCACCCTTTTGCGGGTTTAGTTGAAGTAAAGGGAGCCCGGAAGGAAAACCACCCATTTTGGATGGGTCCGCTGTATTTTAAGAGACACCCATGTGGGAAACCCTGTTGGTATTGTTAAAGGGGCGAAGGTAGTTGCAAGCAGCTGTCTCCCATGGTGAAGTATTTTGTTTGCGAGTACCCAACCATGCGTGTGTGTCTGCGTGTGCGTGCGGGTGTGCGTGTGTCAAAATTGGGGACCCCCTAAAATGGGCTGAAGATTGTTGAACTCCTCCTTTTACGTTCCTACTCCAAGCAGGGTACCCTCAAAAGGCACACACGCATAGGTCCAAGAGTTGTTCGGAGCCAATGGGTAAACAGAGAGCCGGATCACATGCTCCATGGCCACCAATTTGGGGTAAACCCTTTTGTTGTATGGGCCAAACTGTCCCATCCAAGGCTGTCTGAGGGTAAGCTCCCATGTCAACACCGGATCTGTTCTTCTGCCAGGTTGCAGTTGGGAGTGTTGTAAACAACATAATTGTTTCTTCATTTGCCAGGTTGCAAGTGTTGCAAGTGTTGCAAGTGTTGCAAGTGTTGCAAGTGTTGCAAGTGTTGCAAGTGTTGCAAGTGTTGCAAGTGTTGCAAGTTGTGTGCTTGTTCGACATCCCAAGGCCGAGAAGACCACAACGATATCCACCTGACCAGGATGAAGGGAATGAAAGGGTTCTACCCCTGAGAGGGAGGTTTCAAGCATCGCCTTTCCCATGAGCTGAGCAACCTTTGGGTTTGCTTTGTGACTTTCCCTCAGTTTTCGACTTTGCAAGGAGCATCACTTTTCGGATTTCGGGCCAATGAACATGTGCGAGTTGCCTTGAAGTAGGGGACTCCTCAAAATCGTTGGCTTCCTGTTGGCTTATCCCACCAAAAACAAAATCACCCCCGAAACGGGGCGGGGCCCGTGAGGAAGAGCACTGCAACGTGCTGGGCTTCGAGTGTCTTGGCTCGTCCTTCTGGGAGCCCCGAGCCTCGGAACCCTGTCACCGGAGTAAGCGTTGATCGTTGGTGTCCGGTGAAACGAGCGATTTCCACTTTTGAAGGCTCCCAAAAGGGAGATGGAAATTGTGTAGTGGAGAACTGCAGATCAATCAACCCCAGTTGATCCAGCGGGCGTCAACCTGGGGGAAAATGTGGGGATTCAGACCACTTTTGGAGGGAACACCCGATGGGTTTTGTTCGTCCACGGTAAGCATTGACCCAGGAAAAAAGGTAGAACCCCTAAATCGGTGACCACTTTTAACCCCCACAATGGGGGACACCGCAGTGTGATCAACACGGGTCTACAGTATGGACACGGTCTGGTTAAAACTTGCATGTAGGGCATTGGCGTTTTGGATTGTTTTAGGGTTTGACTGCAAAATAGGTAGCTGTTCCATGGCATCGGTTATTTTGTGATCAAAATCAACCAGGGCTAAGACACTTGGGGAACCCCCCCCCCACAATCCCCCAGCAAATGTTTTGGAGATTTTCCGGAGAGCGACTAAAATGGAGGCCCATTTGGGCGGCTCGTGTTTTTCTTTAAAAAAAGGTCCCTTTTTGGGTGCCGGTAAAGGACAACCAGCAGCAAAACCGCTCTGTTTTATCCAGCTTTTGGACCCGGGAGCTTGGGAGCGAGGTAGCTTGGCAATCTTCCAGTTTCGACCTGGGACCTGTGTGAGCAAACCACCAAAAGCAAGACTGCACTGGTCAGGGTGACAGGATAGGAAGGCTTCGGTGCAGCGGTTCGAAGGATTTGAGGGTGGTTGTGGTGATGGTGGGGGTAGCTGGAAAGCCATAAAATGTTCTTGACATAGCAAGTGCAGGGTCGCATCAGGAGAGGACCCTCTTTCTGTAAGGGAACCATTCGCCCCACCATCTCACCATGATCAAAGCCAGCCCCCAGTTGTTTTGAGGGACAGAACCCCAGTATCTGACTTTGACCCACCGAAAACCGCCGAAAAAGCATGTGCCAAGCCGAAACGAAGCCCGGGTCAACCACAAAAGCCGCAAGCAAAGGGCATTGAGGTGTGGATGTTGGAAAAGGGGCTTCACGAAGGACCACCGGCTCCGGATGGTTGTCGTTGCTTCTTGCCCTGCCTGAGTCTGAGGAGCAACCCGCTAGCTGTTTCTCAGGTAATGAATGAATGTCCCCTGGGAATCAAGGAATGATCCTCATAGTTTCCTTTCGGGGGATCTGGTTCTTTCGGTTTATTCCCGGATTCCCTACTTGGGTGTTCGGCCAAGTTAGTAAGTTGTTGGTAACTTAGGGGTTAACCTTGTTATTATTGGGTTAAACCCCAATTGGCTAGCCACTTACTTTCTTGGCCGTACATCCAAGTAATGACCAGCACGCCTGAAACACTGCTCGTTGGACAGTACTTGGGGGGTTTGAACATGGTTGAAAAGCAGAAAAGCTGGGGGATGCTGGGAGAATATATGTTTTGGAGGGAGTTTGCCTTCAAAGTCCACTCGCGGGGGGAAAAAACACGCAGAGCCCGGATTGCCTGAAAACCCAGCCCTAGATTTCCGATGTCATCGGTCCAGTACCCGCATGGATCCTGACTATCTGGCTGGTTAGAATGGACGACCCTCTTTGCAAGACGCCTGCTGGGTTGCGAGCAAGGGCTTTTTGGAGGCAAATCTCCTCAAAACTGGACCCTCAAACTGATTTTGGGGCAAAGCCAGTTTTAGGGTCAAGGCATTAGCCAAGAAAACAGTCCCCACTCTCTTTGCCCAGACGCTCATGACATGAACCCTTCTGACAAGGGTCCGACCGCTCTTAGGGACACCCCAGGGCCCTCCAATATTCGCTTTTCGAAGGCAAGAAGTAGTTGGGAGCCTTTGAGCATATAGAATCCACCGAACATTTGAGAATTCTCAACGAAAACGGAGCGCCAAGTCTAGCACTCCACCGAGACCCGGTCTGGGCCTAGACCCCCTCCATGGTGGTTGTTGGGAAACTGGGAAACATTTTGCATTGTTGCTTGTTGAGGTTTGGCGGTTGAAATCCAACTACTTAACTAGGATTTGAATGAATCCCCAAGTACTTATTCTAAATCCCCAAAACTGTAAATTTTAAATCGGGAAATCCCCATTTACACTTCTAAAATTGGATTTTTTGTTGCTCCCCTTTCCCCCTCCGTCAACCAACCCCCAACCCCCGCTCGCCTCAGCTTCGCGGTGGAGCGGGCGCTGCAGCACCTCCGCGAGGGTCGAAGGGCGGAGGACTCCGCGCCGTGCGCCCGGGGCCCCATGCCCCACGGCCGGCGTGGCCGGCGTGGACTTCGTTCGGGGTGGGGTCGGGGGTTTGGTGGACACTTGAGCCACAATCAAAACCGATTCGAGTAGATGAAGGTTAGTAAGGGACACTCCCACCACCTTTGTATTCCCTTTCATGGTTCTAGCGACCTAGACCATGTTAATACCGGGTGTTGATTGTGACTCACTTCGGGTCTATTTCGCAACCTTCACAAAAGGGAAGCGGTTTTGATCCGGGGGACCATTTTTGTTTTTAAAATGTGGCAGAGACGACTACGGGATCCCATATTTTTGCAACCTTCATTTAGAGAAGCGGTTTTGACGCTTCTTGGCTGCAAGATGTACCAGGTGTCCATCACATGAAGGGGGGGGGCTAGCGTTTGGCGTCCCTTTCTGGACGCTTACCCCCAAGAGAACCAGCTTTGGACACCTCAGGGGCCTTAACTGCATCCGCCTTTGTGCCTGGAAGGCTTGGGGCAGAACCCCCCGTGTGTCAAGCACAAAACCCAGCCGGAGTCCTTGCGTCGAACCACCATCCACCATGGGGCAAAGTTTGAGGAAGGATTCCTTACAAAGCCAAGTAATTGAGTCATTGCCAAACTGAACTACAGTATCCCTAGGGTTCCTTGCCCCAATAAAAGAATGGCAAGGACCCAACTTGGATGATGACGATCCTTAGGTAAACAATGGTGGATATATGAAGGCTAAATGTGTAAAATGGTGGTTTTAATCACAGGAGTACTGTATGTTTGCTTTGCCCTTTTTGGTTGCCGACTCAACAGGGAACATGTTTCTTTGATTGCTTTCGGGAAACACAAACAAGGTTACGCCGTGTATGACCCCGCGCATGTTGCGTGTTTTCAAGAAATCACCTCGTAATGTTGGGGCAAACACCCATTTTTATGGGTAGTTTGAGGGTTTAGGTACAAATTTGAATTGAACACTTGCTTACGGGACTTCCCTGGCCACCAGCTTTTCCGCCAAAGCCCGCCCCCCCCACCCACCCGCTAACCAGGCGGTTCTGCGCGTGGAGCTCTCCGCTCCACCTGCGTTCAAGGCGGAGACCACGGCGCAGATCGCGGCGGCGCTGGTGAAGTTGGCGGGGGACGGCTCCTCCGTGAGCACCTCCGGCTCCGTCAAGGCCCAATTCGAGGACCCGCCGAAAAACGGCTTCCTCGGGCGCGGCGGGGAGCGGGGCGAAGCGAAAACCGAATTCGAGGCAATTTCGCGCGGGCGGGGAGGAGCCGGGGGGAGGTAGGGGGGGGGGTCGTTGAGGGATGCGCCAAAATGTGGAGATCGCGGCACCGGAAATGAAGCCGTGGTTGAATGAAGCCATAAGGATTGGTGGTATGTTCGTTGGGGCCATCCACAGTGGGATGTGCCGATGGATTGGTTGGATGTTTAATTCACCAAGTTGGTGTTTGTGGCAGCCAGAAAGGTTAACCCTGGGGGGGGGGACACTTAAGTGGGGTTATCAACAACTTACTTACGTGGCAACGAACACCCACGTACTCGTACCTAGAGTCCCCACCCTTAATAAGTGTCGTCATGACCCCTTCAGTTTGAGTACGAGCCCAATTTGTGTAAAGGGTGGTGGCGATCCAGGGACTATCAAGGTGTACGCTGCAACTTTTTGAAATTGCACACACTCAGTGGGTGCGAGCCCTACTTTCCAATTGCTTTGTGGAACAATAACCCCCCTTACTACCCCCCTCTAAAATCAGTTACCAGCCAATTTTTCCCACGGAGGTCTGGGGAGATGTCCTTTTTCAGCGTGGTAAAGTTTCGCGCGCGATGGGCGAGAAAGAATTCGTGGTAGATTGGGAGATTGAACAATTCGAGGACCCGGAATGGTCGTGATGGTCCGATGGCTTGTCGGGGGTAGGTGTTTGGCTGATGCTTTCAAGGTCACTGCGAGCTTGGGTTTCAACATCAGGAAGAAGAGAGAGACGGAGAGAGACAGAGAGAGAGAGAGAGAGAGAGGTGAGTTTCTCCAATCAGATTGGGCAATTATGATGATCACTTGACCCAGGACATATGCAAGATGTGTCGGATGTCAATGGCGCAGTTCAAAGACGGCGAATGCGTTGGAGAGACCGGAGATTATCTTTGTTGAGCTGGTTCAGCTCACTTACTAACTCTTTGGGAAGAAACCCTGGCAGCCACACGTCGCGCATGGCTGTGAAATGGTCCCCAAATTGCCCAAAGAAAGCCAACCATTTCTAGGTCCCCCAGTAGTGCCCTTTTACCAACTTTTTTTGGGGGAGGGTTCCCCTACTAAAATAGACTGCAGGGAAAAATCGGGTACCCTTATTCTAACCTCTCTACTGGAGGACCTAGATTTGATGGAATTTCTATTTGTTGCTTTCTATCTTCCAGAGCCGCCACATTGAACACCTCACCTGCGCACGCGAGTTTGTGTTTGAGGCTCGGCATCCTTTTGACTGAGGAGCCACGGACAGTCTTGGGTTGACCACAAGAGGTGGAACCACTCAGGGTTTGATTACTTGATTGTTCGATTCACCAAGTTAGTAAGTTGTTGGTAACCTAGTAGGTTATACCCCGCGTGTAAGTCCCCCACGAGTGTGGGGTTCACCTTGCTGTTAGGGGCTTAGAGGGTGAAAAACCCCAATTCATTGGCTAGCCACAGACCGCGTATCCACTTTCAGATCCAAGACGGTCGTCCAGACCCAACGAGCGCAGGATTCCGACTACTCCAGCGAGGTCGAGGACAAAGAGAAGGCGATAGGCAGGATCTGGGGGTGCCGGCGGTGCAACTGAGATTTCTTGTTTTTGTGATCGCTGGTCCCATGGCAACTGTGGTGGCTTCAGTCCTCCAGGCGAGGTCGTTTTTCGGTCGGCGGAAGGTCTTGGGCCATTGAACGGGTTTCAGGTTGGCGCTACAGCGACAGAGCAATCAGAAGCAAGCACGGACCGAACACTTCTTTCTCCTATCAGGGTCATTGTGGGTGGGTGGGGTTTCGCACTGCAAGCCTGCGTATTTGGTTGGGCCTGGAAAAGGAAGGGGAAAGCCCGCATAAAGCAAGCCCCGCAGAAGCCCCGCATCGTTTTCCATTTTGCCGGATCCGAAGCTGGGGCAAACTGGGCTGGGAGAGCGGGTGACGAGAATGCACCGGTGCGCCGGAGTCGGCGGTTGCCTGGAGGGCCTTGTCGTCTTTTTCAGACTGCCTTGTTGGATACACAAGTGAGTTCCACCGAGGGTTGATTTTTGATTTTTATCTTTGGAGGTGTTTCCTCGCGAGATCTTTTTTCTGCAAGTGCTCGTGAACAGCCTCTGTGCATTTGCCATGCAACACAACCAAGGGGTTTTGTTTTGCCAACAAGAAGGTTCAGTTGCGCCGGGCTCACCCGCTCGCCCATGTTGCCAGGAGCCAGCCGAGAAGAGCATGGCAACCATTCGCCGCTTGGCTCAGGAGACTCCAATCTGGTAGTGAACTCGCAGGGCCTGGTGGAAAACAGAATGCTCTGCCATTGAATCTGGAAAAGATGGACTTGCATTTGCTGAAATGCCCTACTGGAATATTCTATTCTTTTTCCAGGGCGCTTAAGCAAATGGAAATTCAGGGAACACTTAGACTTTTGCGCAGGGGGGCAGAGCAAAAAGGGCACACCCTCGCCCCAGAAAATGTGATAGTGGGTGGTGAAAGAAACCACCCGAGTCGCCGAGCCCAGCTTTTCACCCCCCCCCCTTCAGTGGTTGTATTGTGAGAGACTCATTCTCAAAGTTGCAGTTGCTTTTGGGACCCTGTAATATTTCTTTCAGACCACCAAATGGGTGTGTCTGTTTTTAGGGACCCCCCCAAATGAGTGGTTTTTCTTTGGTTTTCTTTAAAGCCGCCAAACACGGCAAGAAAAGACACCCAAATGTAGGAATTTCAAGATACGGAATTGGCCCAGTCCCTCGCAATCCAGTTTTGGGATGCTCCAAAAGGAAAGGCTTCCCGGTTTTCCATCAGGGCCACTGGGCAACTGTTGCTCTACCAATTGTGGGCCCAGCAGGAGGTTCCTAGTTCTGACAACTTTCTATTTATATTATATATATATATATACATAGGTTCCGCCGGCGGCGGCAGAACTTTCTGCCGAAAGGTGCCGGTGGCGCCTTTTTTTCTCAAAAGGCAGGCACTTCTGCCGATTTGGATGGTCCAGTATTTATACATAATTTATGTGTATATATATATATATATGTATATATATATATGTATATATATATGCATGCATATATGTATGATATGTATGTATATATTAATATCTATATGTATATGTATATATACATATATATATATATATGTATATATCTATATATAGGTGTATATATATATATGTATATATGTATATCTGTATATATGTATATATGTATGTACGTATATATGTATATATGTACGTACATCGTATATATGTATGTATGTATGTCTGATAGTGGTGAATTTAAGGTATTGCAATTTGACCGCCCCCGAGCCCCGGAGAGCACTCCGGATGGCCCGGCGCGGAGGTGCTGCTGCCCGAGCTGCGGCGCCACGAACTTCTGCGTGAGCTGCGGCTCGCCCAACGAGCAGTTCCAGATGTATCAGATGCAGATGCAGGCGGGCTCCAAATGCACCCGGTCAGGTGGTGGGTTCCAAACAAAGGGGAATTTCGAGGGGAGGGGGGGGGGGGGAAGGCAGTTGGTGGGTTCCAAAGAATGGGATGTTTTTGTTGGGAGGGGCAGGCGACTCCTTGCCTTTTTTTGTGGGGTCCAAAGCAGGGGAACTTTGGGGGTGGTTAAGCTGGGAATCAGACTGGAGGGGCCCCCTCCGGGTGTGACTATGCCGGGTTCCAACTCAGAACTCTTTTTTTCATCTGGCGCACCTTTCCCAGGTGTCCGGTTTGATCCCTCGGTTTGGCGGTAGGGTGTCCGTAAATCAACCCACTCAAAGGTAAACGCAAAGCAGGCATCTGAGCCCAGTTTTCGGGGTGGAATATATTCCCTCTAAACCCACAAAAAAAGACGGGTTTCCCACATGGTAAACCCAGAACCAGATGCAGGCGTCTGCCTTCTGGCGGGGAAAGGGTCTGCTTCTTTGCCCATGTTTCCGCACAACAACCAGGGCCCAAGCTCGAATTCTCCATGCGTTTTAGGGTGGAAATAACCCACCGTACCGGGAAAGCACACATCGATCCGCGTCTTGCAGGGCATGCCCATGCAGGGCATGATCATGAACATGGGCTCGGGCATGATGCAGATGCCAATGATGGCGGCCGGTCCCTTGCCTCTGCATTTTCGCTCTCTTTTTTTACGCCAGCTGAGCCACGCACTGACGGGACTTGGACCCTCCAAAATACCCGTATAGATAGTGGTGATTGCCCCAAAATTACGGGGTAGGGCGGATGATTTGAGGGGTGCAGGGAGATGACTGGTAGTCAGGGACAGTCCCAACCCGAAATAGGTGCGGCTTTTTTGGGCGTGTTTGCGACCTGCCTTCCCACATGCCCACTAAAACATGTTGGAGGGGGAGCCATGCAAAAGGGTGCCGTGTTAGTGGGGTGAGGGAAACCAGCAACAAGTTCTTGGATCCACTTTAGTATCTGCTCGGTGTTCGACTTGCCAACTCAGTAAGTTGTTGGCAACCTAGGTTACGCCGTTGTACCCCATTTTTTTGTTATTTAGGAGTTATACCCCAATTGGCAACCACTTTCTAGCTCGGCAATGCGCATCCAAGTAGGCCATGTTTTAGCCCAGAAAATGACTGCGAGTTTGCTGCATCTTGGGGATTTCTGGTTTCAGCCCCAGAGACTCGAAAAATTCGGGGGGGGGGGGAGCCGCGGGCTCCGATGGCGAGAGCCACCGCGTTGGGGTTTCATGCGGGCTCTTTTAAGCTTGGTGGGAAACCACGGGGTTGCTGGGACACGGAAAACGCGTGTGAAGTCTGTGGGATCAAAAGACGGAACCCTGTTCATGCCAATCTGTACTTGGGAAGCGTTCGGTAAGTTGGGACGGTCAAGTTCGGTCACCCACAAATTTAGTCCCCGCGTGGGGTTAACCTCGTTGGGGGTGATAAATCCCAACGGAACTTGGCAACAAACATCCAAAAGACGGGCGGGGGTGGGGGTGATAGGGTCAACCTTTTGAGGGGTCAAAGACCTTGGCGGAATGCCTTTCTTCTAGGGTCTGGCCCGAAAAAGCCTCTAGAAGTCAATGCAGCGTTGGACGTCGAGGCTGAATTGGTCAACTCTTATCCTTATGGTGACGGCATGGTTAAAATTGAAATTGCTGATCGTGTAGCGCTAGGCGAATTGATGTCAGCGGAAGACTATCAAAATAGCATAAGTGCCTAAGTATAAAGTCTTTGTAGACCGGTTGTATTGTGGACCATTTTAATTTTCATCTTATAAACCGAACACTGTCGCCAGCCTTGGGGGGGGTTAAGTGGGGGGCCTTCAACAGCCATAGGAATTTGGGGAGTTTGAGTCTTGATGGCACAAGTTCAAAGAGGTCGAACCGGATTCTCACCTTGTTTCGGGTTTTGGGCCTCAAAGGCAGTGCGCCTTTTTGAGAGCCCAAGGCACTCCGGGTGTAGCAACAATTCGGGCCACAAGGTCCTTGCCCCTCCGGAAAAAAAAAGGGGGAAAACAAAAAAACGGATTTGGGGGTTAAAACGGCAGCAGATCACTTTGGCGATGTCAGACCCTGCCAATCCCTGTCAACCCACGGATTCATCAACCTACTGGGTAGAGAAAAACATACATATATATATATATATGCTAGGGTCGCAGTCTAACCCAGGATGTAGGTGAGCATGCGCGGCCAGGTGCAGAAGGCAGAAACGTGCGTAGTGTTGTTGACGACAACGGCGCTTCTCGCAGCCGTGGAAGGGTTGTCGATATTGACGCAGGCTATTTTTCTGACAAGCTGTGGTGGGTGGGGGGTGGGGGGGTGGGGATGGTAAGCACACATGTGCCATGCATCCATGCATTGCTTAAACCTTGCTCTGCGCTCACCTGGCTCACAGGTTCTGTTATCATGCTGTGTTTGCGCGTGGTCTCCTTGTTTTGCTTCTGCGCGTTGCCGGAGTCTCGCCGCCATCCAGCTTTCCGCGTGGCACGCTTGCCCTTTCTATCTTGATCAGCACATTGACGTGTTTTCTGCTTTGCCTGCTGCGGATTCCGTTTTGGCGTTCGTCATCACAGCATCTGTGGATCCCTTCCACTCTCCCATTGACTTCTCCGCTTTGTGTGAGTTTCATTCTGATCTGTGGCTATCTTGGGCCTCCTAGATTGCTCGTGTCAGTGGATTGTCGCCTTCCGTAGTATCTGCAGCTGCGCTGGTGTTGTCTCGACGCGTGCTGGGGCTCCGTCAGCTGGTCTTGCCAATGGCCATGGGTGCGCAAAAGCTCGAGTCTCATGGGATGGAGTTGGGTTTCTCACACATACGATGTGTGTTTCTTTTCGGGGAAAAGCCTTGTTTTGATTAATATAACTCACTTTTGCGAGGGACCCGAAATGCAAAACACTGAAATGTTCGCATTTTTGAAAAAGGCCTCTTCAAAATCGACAACCGTTCCACAGCGGCGAGAAGCGCTGGTGCCTGTTGTTGACAATGTTCCGGGTTCCATTGCAAAGTAGGTGTTGCGGCTTCCAAACTCGAGTTTTCGCTGTCATTTGTCGGCATCAAGTTCTGTGCAACACGAATTACGAAATTGAACTTTTCGAGCCCGGCATGACTCGTTCTGCTTTTGACGGTCTTGGTTGACTAAAGTGGTCGACACCTCCGTCATCAGCGCGTGAGTCAAGGAAACGCTTTGCGGCTGAATGGTATCAACACTAGCTGAAGACACACGCGCACACATGTATATATAGTATAACATATATAATATATATATATATATATATTACATATATATATATATATATATATGGTCGCGGGCGACCATGGCAAGACGGGAGCTCGAGGAAGAAGGGAGCTGGAGCAAGCGCAGCGGCAGGAATCGAACCTGCGGACCTGCGGACCTGGGCCGGAAAGCCAAAAAACCAGTCGTCCCAGCTGGATGTCAGAACTCTCAACCGGGGAGAAAGCCCACTACGGTTCGTCTACGTGTCCCTCGAGTAGAGTTTTGACCTCCCCACAGAAGCCAGGAATGTCCAAACTCTACTCGGCTCAAGGCCCGGTGGATGACAGTAATGGGCCCCGTCCCAAGTCGAGTAGAGTTTTGACCTCTAGTTGGGAAGGCTCCTTTAGTGACAGCACAGAGGCCGCGAAAGTGATGGCAAGTGGCCGAGCCGCCCTGTCTACCACATGCAGAGCAAGGTATGAAATATATATATATATATATATATATATAGATGTATGTATGTGTGAGGAACCCACTCGATGAAGGATCCCTGCTTAAAATAGACACCACTGGGGGTGGGGTGAGGAGCAGTGGCTGATTGATCCTCCTTGGCCTCTGTTCTTCTTGTTGGCTATAAATGGGGTTAGACACCTATGGAATGAATGAAGCTCCATGAAAACCCGGATACGCCGCCAATCCCAACCTGCCGCATGGATGGATGTCCATCCGAAGGCACAGTCGTCGGGAGCAGCGAGTCGAGTTGAGGTGTGGGCCAACCCATGGCCATGGCCCCGGCCCCGGGCCCGGGCCAAGTCTGTGGGAACATCATGCAAGCGCCTTGGACAGCAACCATTTGGAACATGTTGCTTTTTCAACACCAAGATAAAGGGAAACCACCATTTACAAGTTGCAAGGTTCAGGTGTATAATGTAAGGATCCCTGTTGGACTGCATCAAAGGTGAGGAAGATTTCTCACTCTGATAGATCTCAACTTTTGATCGGCTTTGGGCAAAGATGGGCTCGAAAGTGTAAATATTTTTCCGACTTCCATAGGTGTTGACTTTTGATCGCTTGCCCCTTCGATTATCAAGTTGACGTGGTGCGATCGGTTTTCGTTCCGTCTTGGAGAATGCATTGTGTTCTCCCGTGGCTGTCAACAAGTCGAGTGTCTCCAGGGGATCACATGAGTCACAATTCACAATGAAGACCCGGGTAGATGAAGGTTAGGGGCAGTCCCAGCCGGAGCTAGATACGGCCGCTTACATGTTTCTGGGTCCCTTTTTGTACCAGGTTTTGCACTCACTTATTGACTTCAGCTGGACCAGCGATCTGAGGTTTGCATGCCAATGATGCCCCAGATGGAGGGAGCAGGTGATGGCACCGTGCCCTGGCGAGAAGCGATCTGTGACGAGAAGATTCGCCGGTGTTTTCTCTTCTTGCAAACGGGGGGGAAGGGTTTGCAACCCAACTACTCACCTTGACCGGTTTCGTGGTGAACAACAAGTTCAGACTGGTTTTGGTTCCAGTTCACTCACGAAGTGAGACTACTCAAAGGTCAAAGGACACTTTTCCGTTTCCCTTTTTTAAGTTCCTTGTGAAATGCCCTTGCATTCTTTGTGGGCGCTGCAAACAGTTCCTGGCTCAAAAAGTAGAACATCGTTCAGAGGTTTTGGGAATGAACCTTCTGGGACCCTAAAGGAAGCTGCATCCGCTCGCTGAAGTTGTTTTCCCCTCTTGGTTTTAAAGTCAATCCATCACTACTGGAAATATGTTTGTTTCTGGGGACTTAAGAAGATGGAAGCAAAGGATGGTTTAGAGGGTTCATTCCAACGGATGGATCAGGGGTGGGAAGCTCTTGTGATTGGAATTGATCTGCCCCTAGGGGTATTCGGCTCCACCTGTCTGTGTGGAACGGGGGTTAGGGTGGGGCAACATTGGCAGGAACTTCCTGCCCGGAACTAATTTGCTTTGGGGGGTGGGGGTGGGGTTGGGCAACATGATAACGTCCAGTGGCAAGCCGCTAGCCAAGTCTCAATCAGTGTTTTGACCACCACTGCACGCGGACTCACGCAGTCCGAGTCAAATCTGAATGAGCGAAAGAGGCCGGGATCAGTTGCAATAGGCGGGCTGCATTGAGCATACTCCGCCAGAAATGCATGGGAGTGGTTTCGCCCAGACAGGCATTCAATCAGCCGCTCTGGAAAGTATAGAAGACTGATTTTACAACGGAAACACAACAAATCTACAAGTGTTGGGTGATATTATTGGTGTGAGACCTATATTGATTTTTGACGGTGAGAAATGGAAGAGGATGGAGGGGGTGGAAGAGAAATCCTCCCCATTTCTCCTCCATCCTCATCCATTTCTCCTCATCCTCATCCATTTCTCTCCATCCTCCTCCATTTTCCTCCCTTCGCTTGGTATGACTTGTTTGTTGTTTATGCTCACGGCGCGATTAGCGACCGTGGGCTCGTACGCTGATTTTCTTCT